TTAAAAAAATCGGAAGTCCCAGAGCCTGCCATCCCTTCCCACCAGAAGCCCAATTACTCTGCCCCAGACAGGCCACTAGCCTCCAGCCCCTCTGCCTCCACTTCTGAGGAGACACCTGAGGTCCTGTTTCTGGGGCTGGAGCCAAGTTGGTGTTAGGTGACAGGACTCTGTCCTTCGCCCCTCCCCTATTCTGCCGCCCCCCCCCGCCCCCAACCAGAGAGTGTCATGAGGAGGATGGAGGGATGGAGAGTTAGAGATGGACACAAAGGAAAGACAGAGGGAGGAGAGGAAAGGAGGGGTCTCAAAGAGTGGGAGGAACACCTCAGCCTGGACACAGGAGCCCTGACCTCCTGGGACCCTCCCGCCTTCATGGCACTTTTCAGCTTGATGTCATATTGGGTGCCTCCACCCACCAGATGTCAGGGCCATGAGAGTGGAGATGTGACTTGTCCCTGCACATTTGGACAACGTGAGCTGAGCTAGGCCATCTCTTGCCTCCATTAGGCTGCCCTGAGCTCTGGGAATTCCTACACCTTCACCAGGGACCACCTCTGTGCTGCCCTCAGCCAGACCCTGGGGAGGCAGGCAGGGCCACTGTCTGTCCAGAGGCAGCAAGAGAGGCTGGGCAGACTTGGCAGTGCCAGGCTGTGCCCCCCCCCCAGGCAGATGTGTGTTCCTGCTGAAGGGGGATCTTTTATGTGCGCCCTGGGAAGATGTCGGTCTGGGCAAGCCGCCAGAACCCCCGGGGTTGGTTGCTGAGAGTAGGGAAGTGAACTTTGTGCGACCAGCCTGAGAACCCACCACGCCTGGCAGCCGAGAGGCAGACCTGCAACTGCTTCCTAGGGGCCTGGGATGGACCTGCAAGTCAAAGGACTCTGGGGCCTACGGGGTTCCAGCCTCTCTCTGAGCCTTGGAGTTGTGTCCTGTGACTCCTCCAAAAAATACAGGTCCCACCCCTGGGTTGGGCTGCCACCAGCCTCCCCCATCTCTCCTACTCACTCTCACTACTTGCCAGGTCAGAGGATTCTTTGCACTGAATGCACTCACTCATTCATTCATTCCAAAATATTTATTAAGTGTCTGATCAGAGGCTGGGACTCAAAAGTTAGCCTAATGGGCCACCCCTCCCTGGTAGGGCTGACAGTTGAGTGGAGAACACAGATAACCAATATTGCAAACATTATGTTTAGGAGACATATTGTCCTTTTTAAATATTTTAATATATATTTAATATATATCATCCTTTTTAAATATAATATATATACACATATATATATTTGTGTATATATATACATATATATATTTGTGTATATATATACATATATATATTTGTGTATATATATATACATATATATATTTTTGTATATATATATATTTCAGAGGAAGGGAGAGGGAGCGATGGAAAGATCAACGATGACAGAATCATTGATCGGTGCCTCCTGCATACCACTACTGGAAATCGAGCCTGAAACTTGAGCATGTGCCCTTGACCAGAATTGAACCCAAGACCTTTCAGTCTGCAGGCCAACACTCCACTGAGCCAAACAGGTTAGGGCAACATATTGTCCTTTAGAAGGTGCTAAGTGCTACACAACCTTTCAGAGCCATGAAAGGGGTAAGGAAGGTGAGTGGTGTGATGTCTGCATGAAGACCTGGAGGGAGGGAGGGACAGTGTTATATGGACATCTGCAGGAAGAGTGTCTGGCAGACGGAACAGCCTGTGTAAATGCCCTGAGGTAGTTGTGCCTGCCTGTGTGGGAAGGGATATTGAGGACCTAGGGGATGAGTGTAGATGACACCCAGAGATGGCAGCATGGGGCTAGACTGTGTAGACAGGTATAACACTCTATGTCAGTTTATAATGCTGTTGCCTAAAACTGCTCCTGACTCCCCAGTGCCTTTGAAAGGAACCCCAGTCTCTTTCACCATCCAGAGCTCTGGGCACACAGGCCTCCCCACACTGAGCCTCCAGTAGGCCCCAGGCCATTACTCTATTGTTCTCCTCCATCGAGGCCACCCCACAGCACTGGTCATGACCTCTCAGCCACCACTTCAAACCCCTCTCAGCAGTTGGGGCAGGTCCAGATCCAAAGCTCTGAAGTCCATAGTTTGGGGACCAGTGAGGGGCCCTGGAGTTGAAGCTTCAAGAGCTGCCTGGAAAGTCCATGTCCACACTCAAGAAATACTGAGTGTCTGGTCAGCCATGCATGGCAGGACTGGGACCCCACACTCACCTCTAGGAAGGGGGGTGGCATGGCTAGACACCATTGTGCAGGACAGAGCCCTGGTGTCCACCCCAAGTGACAAGTGACCTTAGGCAGAGCATCCCTCCCCAGGGCCTCCGTCCGCAACATGAGTGGGGCCTGCAGTTGTGCTGACTTAGGACTCATCTGGGTCTCCTTTCCCTGCTGAGCTCACTGCCCCCAGAACCTCTGGTGGGGTCGGGAGGGGTGGGAGGACCAGTGACAGCCCTTTGTTTCAGGTAGAGGGACTCTTAGGGTCATGGCACCAGATGCGGGTTGATGCTGAGGCTCGGGGAGGCCCACAGAGGCCTCCACCACAGTCCGTCCTCACGGTGTCCCAGGGAAGCAGGTGGAACATTTCCAAGCAGCCTGGGGGATGGGCCCTTGTTCATCTGACAGCCCCTCTGCTCCGAGCAGGCTGTGACCCCGAGACCTTGGTTCCTGAACCCTCCAAGCACTTGCCAAAGATGTTCTCATAAATCCAGACTTGGCTGCTTGGACTGCTCCATCTCACTCCTGGGGACACTGAGGTAGGTTCAGTGAGTTGTCACCAAGAACACTCCCAGTGGCACAGGGCTGCTTGCTGAGTGAAGGGACAGGAATACCTAACGTGAGGAAAAGGGACCAGGCTGCTGGCCCAGTTGCTAATGATGTTTATTTTCTATGTGCACAAGAACTGGATGGCGATCTACACACCATGAGCAGCCTCTCCCCCTGGAGGAAGGATGCTTTATGTAAACCTGCAAGGAGGCCGAGTCCTGCTCACCTCTCCATTCCATACCCTCCATCTGCTGCTCTGTGCTCCACAGAATCACGTCTGACCCCACAGCACTGACCATCTTTTATTTCAAAAATTTTTTAAAAGTAATTTTAATTGATTTTAGAAAGAATGGGGTTGGGGGAGAGAAACATTGATTGGTTGCCTCCCATACTCCCAACCAGGGATCAAACCTGCAACCCAGGTATGTACCCCAAACCCACAACCCTCTGGTGCATAGGTCAATGCTCCAACCGAGCCACCCAACTAGGGCAGCACGGCCCATCTTGATGAAGAACCCAGTGCAGCTGCCTCATCTGACCCCGAGCAAGCAAACACCCACTCAAGCCCCCAGAGTTAGAGGATAGGCTGACCAGGCCTAGCCAAGCCATCCCTAGTGAAGGGTCAGCCTCATTGTCACCAGTGGATCTTCCCACTGGACTTCAGGCCTCTCCAAAGACTCCTCAGCCCCATGTATATCATTGGCGTCCAATCAATGTTGCTGAGCATGAGTAGGCATGTGTAACTTATGGGCCACAGAAAAGTTAAAGTGGTGTGTTCTCAGGGACCCCTGGGCCAAGGGAGGTTGGCACTCAGGTGTGTCCAGCTGGAAGGCACACAGGACCAGGCAGTAAAAACAAGGGGCTCTCACCAGACTGGTGTGGCTCAATGGTTGGGCATCAATCCATGAATCAAGAGGTTGCTGGTTGGATGCCAGATGAGGGCATATACCTGGGTTGTGGGTTGGATGCCCAGCAGGGGGACATGCAGGAGGCAGTCAATAGATGATGTTTCTCTCTCATCACTGTTTCTATCTCTCCCTTCCTCTCTCTCTCAAAATCAATAGAAACACTTTTAAAAGATTCTAATAAAATAAAAAACAAGGGGCTCTGTGAATTTACTTCCTGGCCCATTCCACTCAGCAGTGTGCATGTGGCACCCTCTGGTGGCGGCCAGAGGGTAGGGCCGGGCAGGGACAGTCCCCAATAACCAGGCTTGGGATTTCTGGCATGGAGCAACTTTGGTTCCTTTCTGTGAAATAAGGGGTGGCTTTCTCCAGGCTGTGGGGTGCAGGATAAAGAGGGTGAACCCCCTATACTCCCCCCAAAGCTTGGGGAAATCAGACTGGTAGCTGACGGCTGTGGCCTTAGAGGCCTCAGTGAAGTGCCCGGTGGGCACAGCCTGTTGCTTCAGCTTCGTGGCAGTTATGCCGCACCTTTTCCCAACACCGGAAAAAGCCTGCTTCTCTGGAGATCCCCGAAGAGCTGGTCCAATGCTCCCCACGACCCTCACCCGGACCTGCTTACAGTCTGAGACGTGTCTAGGAGGAGGAGGTCCCTAGGTGTAGAAATGGGTTTACCCTGGACAAGCTCTTTCCCCTCTCTTGGACTCAGTTTCCCCCCTGTACCAGGTGGGAGGCCCAGATGGTACCTGCTAGTCCAGGGTTCAGTGAGGCCCTCTCTCCTGTGACCTCCTGCTCCACCAGAATGCTCCCTGGCCCTTCAACCTATCCACACCTCCCCACCTGTCGGGGTGCAGTCGGGATGAGTAGGCACCCCCTTCTTGCTTTCTAGGCCCCAGCCCTCCTCAGCTGGAACAGTCCCAAGAGGCCAGGCTCCAGGTGCTCCCACTTGCACCTTCCCCTACACAGCTCTTGAGTCCTGGCTGCCCCGGCCACACAGGACGGGTGGGTAGAGGCTGCCGATCCCTTACTGGGCAGCCAGTGGGAAGGATCCCAGGCATTGTCCAGGGCCTCAAAAACCTGACCACTCATCCCATTCAGACCTGGTACAGGGCCCCCCATGGTCCTGTGGCCTGCCCACCCCTCCTTTTACCCTTTATCCTAGGAACAAAGCTCCCAACCCAAGTGCTCCGCTTCATTCTTATCCTGCCCTGGCCCTTGCGTGCACTGCAACCTCTGGGCCTCAGTACAGCTTAGCGCTTGCCCTATGAACTCTCCTTGTAAGATTCAGGACGGGCACAGACAGGAGCCAGGAGAGTGAGAGGTGGGTCAGCCTTTATTGGTGAGCAGGCAGGTGGGGTTGGGGGCTCCCATGTAAGTCAGGATGCTGTGAAGGAAGAAGCCTCAGGCTCCACTGGGGAGGGGGTTTCTTCAGTCACCATGAGCACAGATGCGAATGGGGCTGTTACAGCAACTCCCACCCCATGATGGTCATCCAGACCCCGCCCCCCAGCGTGGGGAGGGCAGGAGCAGTGAGGGGGATACTCTGAGGGGTGGTCATGAAGTCAGGCTGGACTAGGTCACATAGACCTGCGGTGATGTGACAGGACTTGCTTCAGGCAGGCAGGACGCCAGGCATTGTGACCTGTGACCTCCTGAAAAGGGCAGTGAAGCAGCAGAAAGCAACCTCAGGAGGTGAGCTGTGGAAGGAGGAGTCTCAGGGAAAAGCCAGTCTGTCATCCACAGCCCCCCAGCATGATGGACTAGAGGCTAAATTAAATGCCCAGGGGACACCAAGGGTATGGTTTGGGGGTGCAAGGAAGGAACATGGAGGGGATAGGCAGGGGACAGCAGGAGCTCCCCACAGAACCTCGCAGCTCCCCTGGAGTGCTCTTAAAAATAAAAAAGCAAAACCCCTAAGGAATGGAATTCTACATAGAGAAAACCCTAGCTTAGTTTCTTTTAAAAGAGAAAACATGTGATTTGAATCAACAGTGTGGTCTACTTTGCAGGGTAGGTTTCCTTTAAGAGGAGAGGACTTGGAATGGTGCGAACACCAGGAACACCTGGAACACCAGGCTCCTCTGGACAGCAGCTCAGGCCTGTGCAGACTCCTCCTCACTGCCTGCAGGAAGGAAGGGGCACTCAGACGCCAGCTCTGCCAGGGCAGGAGCCCCCACTCCCACCCTGTCACGCTCCTCACCTCACTCACTTGCTCACTCAGTTGGCGTTCCTCTGGCGGACGTTCTTGTCTTTGTCATTCATGTGCCCGCTGCTCTTCCTGGGGACAGGAGGGGGCTTTTCAGTGCTCAGGAGGACAAGACAGCTGCCCCCCATCCCCAGTCACAGAGGGAGGGGCATCCAGGTCAGCAGCTCCTCCAATCCTGCCCACACCACCACCCCATCCCGCCCCGCTCAGCGAGGCCAGGACTTACAGTGGAGCAGAGCCCGTGTCCTCATCTGTGCAGACGCGCAGCCAAGCCATGTGCAAGAGAAGAACAGGTGTCAGAGGTGGTTCCTGTGCTGCAGGGACTGGTCATGTGGGGAGGCAGTCCCATCCCTGGGACATGGACCCTCAAAATGAGCTATGGGGTCAGCCCAAGGGCCTCTGGGAGCCCTGCCTGCTCTCCTTGTCCACCTGCAGGTAGGCATGCAGGTGCCCTCACCTGGCCAGGCGGCTCAGGTTTCCTGAGCTTCATCAGGTAGTCACGGGCTTGCTTGGCCCTGGCCCTTGGACCCAAGCAGCTGATGTGAGGGGAGGCTGAGCAACTGAGGGCAGATGCTCACAAGAGGACACCTGCCAGCAGCCAAGTGCGGCTGTGGGGGCAAGCAGATCCCAGCCTCAGAAGGTGGGGCAGGAGGCCCTTGCTGGGTAGCTCAGTTGGTTAGAGCACTGTCCGATATGCCAAGGTTGCAGGTTCAATCCCCAGTCAGGTCACATACAAGAATCAACCAATCAATGCATAAGTAAGCGGAACAACAAATTGATGTTTCTCTCTCTAAAATAAATAAATAAAAATTTTAAAAATAAAAAAGGTGGAGCATCTCCTGAGGAGAAGCCTGGGGACCTGACCTGACCTGTAAAAGGGGGCTGTCCCAACCCCAAAGCGCCCTCCACTATACTGCATTCCAGGACGGTGTTCAGATCCCCGACAGGTGGGGAGCAGAGGGCATGGGGCAAGCTCACCATCCAGGACCTCGTCCGGCTTCCGCCGCTTCTCATAGATGAAGATGATGGTGACAAGCACGAGCACCTCAGCCACGATACCCAGGAAGGGCCAGAGGGCAGCGAGGCGGTTGCGCACACGCAGCGTGATGACGGCCTGGTCAGTGCCCTCTGCATTGGTGCCATTGCAGGCATACTTGCCAGGGTCTGCCTCCAAGTCTAGGTTCTGGATGTGCAACTCCGTCTTGGTCTCCGAGGACATCACAACCTTGTTCTGGGACCCGTTGCTGAAAATCTGGGGACAGGCAGACCTTGTAGTAGGGCGGAGGCCCAGGCCTTTGCCCCACCCCAGGCAGGTGCAGCCCTCACCTGGACCCCATCATCATTTATCTTGTACCACAACCAGTCGGTAACCGGGGGGAAAGACTCAGACTTGCAGGCCAGCACAACTGTCTCTCCTTCAGTGGCATGCTCTGACTTCTTCACAGCCTTAATCTTGGGGGGCCCTGGTGGGGAGCAGATCACAGTGGAGCCTGAGTCCCACGGCCTGGAGGAGCCAACCCCCCTTCAGTGTGCGGGCTCCCCTCACCCCAGGGATGGATGAGCCTGCCCCTTCCTCCGTGCTCTGGGGGCCATAAAGCCGCTCACCCTTCACATTCACTCACCCTCCACATTCACGCGGGCGGTTCTGCCTGTAGGTTCCGAGGGGAGGAAGGTGCAGAAGTACTCTCCTGCGCTCTCGTGTGTGTCTACCCTGCAAGCAGACGCAGTCGTGAGTTGACCCTCTACCGGTGACTCTGTGGGGCCAGAGCAAGCCTCGAAGGTCATGATCAGGAGATCCTGCAGGAGGGCACATACTGTCCATGTCCCATCAAGAAGGGAGAAGGTGATTTTGGGGATGGCAGATGGGTCTGGCCCCACTCCTGAACCGGCACCCAAACCAATGAGCTTCTTTACAGTGACCCTAGAAGCCCATAAACCACAGAGCTCTGTGTTCCCAGAGCTGGCTTGGGCTCAGTTAAGACAAGGCTTCAGCTTGGGCAGCCTTGAGTGCCCAAGACCATAATAAATTGGGAACACAGGGATTCCAGGCTGAGGGGGACTCATGTAGTGCCCCCTCCCCTTCAGCGCCTGGAAGAAAAAGAAAGGGTCATGGAGGCCGTGATGTCCCTCCCTGGTTCCTGAGCTTTTCACAACTGAGGGATATGAACAGAGCTTGTACCTAACGTCTGTCCAAAGTGAGCCCACGGATCACAGTCTTCATTCCTGCTGACCACATGGCTGTTATCAGTGAGAATACATCAGAGGAAACAGGGCAACAGGGGCCCAGGGTGAAACCAGCTCCCTGAAATGAGGCCCACCCCTCTCCTGCTAGGCCCAGCGGGACATGGGGTTTGGGTGCTTCCATGGGCCTCACGCACTCATACTGCGTTGTCAGATCGGGCTCCGAGTCCTCCTGCAGCACCTTGTCCCCTTTCGTCCAGCGGTGTCCCAGGATGGCAGTGTCACTGGAATCCAAGGTGCAGGTGAGGCGTGTTTTGGAGTCAACAATAAGTTTGGAAGTCGTGATATTGCCCCCTGTGTGGCCAAACGAGAGATTAGCCAAGGGATCAGAGGGGGACAAAGCCTGTGACCCCCACAGCCACCTGCCAACTTGTCCCGCAACTAATCCAGTGTGGCTCCTCCACAGTCACAGCAACTTCCTGGCAGGGAAGCCACAGCCTTGTTAACAAGTCTCGAATCGCACTGGCATGTTCAGGAAGGAAACCTCCTACAGAATTAATGGACTTTGGGTGTGATGGGCTACTGGGCAGGATGCAGGGCTCAAGGCAGGTTTTGTCGAGGAGACATGGATCGCAGGTGTGGGAACAGAGACCAATACCCACCCAGGGTCCCAACTCGTGGGTCCAGCCCAGCACAGATCCTAATTTCCTTGAAGGTCAAGAGTTCCCACAGCCCACTCACAACTGCCACAAAATCACTGCACAGGAGACACTATGTTGTCCTGCCCAGGACACTGAGGGTGAACTCAATCAGTAAAGGCCCTTCAACTCGATTTCCAATGAGGCAAATCTTCCCTTTAGTTTCAGATGGTCTCTTGAAGAATCGAAATGTGAAAATCACTAGGAACCAGAAGGTGAGAAGCACAAGAGACTGGAGGTGAGCTGGGAGAACTCCTCCTCGGGACCAGGGATGGGAGGGGAAACCCAGCCCTCCCAGTGTTCAGATAAAAAGCCAGGCAGGTGTTCCATGGACCAGAAGTTGAGGGTGAGGGAAATGGAGACCTCTGCTGAGGGCAGGGCCTGCCACCGCCCAGCCATGCCAGACACTAACCACCACGGGTGGGGCAGTGAGCACACCCATGTCCACACCGGAGCCCTGTCCCTAGGTTGGGGCAGGTGCTGTGGGGACACCCCTGCCCAACCACCATGGGGTCCCAGGCACCACAGGGCTGTCCACACTGGCCTCCATTTGCCTTCTTTGGGATCGCTCCGAAGCAGAGCTTTACTCAGAAGTGTCTGTTTTTCCAGGATGGTCACCCACAGGCTAGAACCCTGGAGATGTCTTTGGTTGCCCCCCGCATGCACCCTGACTGGGGCCAGTGACTGAGTATGTGCCCTTGACCAGAATCGAACCCAAGACCCTTCAGTCCACGGGCCAATGATCCAAACTGGCTAGGGCTTTTTCTTTTTTTTAATGGTTTAATTATTTTTAGAAAGAAAGGGAGAGGGAGAGGAGAAACATCGATATGAGAGCAGAACATCTATCAGCTGTCTCCTGCATGCCCCCTACTAGGGATCAAGCCTTCAACCTGCACATTGACCCGGTAATCAAACCAGCAACCTTTTGATGCTTCTAAAAGCTATGCCCACAGGATTGAGCATAAACAGATCCAGCCATAACTGTTTGCAATGAGCTTCTTTTCCTTTTGGTTTGTGGGGAGAAGCCTGTGGTATAAAGTTAGGTGAAAAAGCAGAATACGAGACTATATTTGAACAACTTCTGTTCAGAGTCAACCATTCCAGAAAAGCAGCTACAAGAAACCCAGCAGTCTAGCAGCCATTCAGCAGGCCTGCCCCACCTAGACCCCTGCTTCCTCACATAGTGACTTTTTAGAGCAAAACTGTGAAATCACAGAACAAAACACATGAAATTGGGCAGAATTGCTAGAGGTAGTGACCCCTGTCTGAATAGTTATCTTAGCTGCCTGGAACTCAGTAACAGTATAAATTGATTCCTTGGGCAGCAAACCTCTGGCTCAGGCCTAATACTGCCAATCCAGAGGAAATGACAGGAAAGGTATTCTGCATCCACTGGACACCAGGTTCTCACTATGTAAGCAAAGCTTGCTCAGCCTCACCCATCCACAGAGAGACCGGGTTGGTCATTAAGAAAATTAAACCTCAAGCCAGTGTTCTCAGTGGTTAGAGCAGCGGTTCTCAACCTGTGGGTCGCGACCCCTTTGGCGGTCGAACGACCCTTTCACAGGGGTCGCCTAAGACCATCTTCATATCAGATATTTACATTATGATTCATAACAGTAGTAACATTACAGTTATGAAGTAGCAACGAAAATAATTTTATGGTTGGGTCACAACATGAGGAACTGTATTTAAAGGGCCAGAAGGTTGAGAACCACTGGGTTAGAGCATCAGCCCGGGCACCAAAGGGTCACAGGTTCAATTACCAACCCCAATTGGGGCATGTGTGGGAGGCAACCAATCGATGTGTCTTTCTTACATTGATGTTTCTCTCTCTTCCCTTCTCTCTAAAATCAATGGAAAAAATATCCCCGGATGATTAACAAAAGAAAATAAAATCTCAAAACCCAAAGGGCAGCAGGAAAACTTTATTCAAGAGACATCACAGCTGGATCTGGCACAATCCATGGGCAGCTGAGATCAGCACGCCCTGAGGGTGCAGTCCTACCCCCAAACCTGCACTGGGTCCCAGGGCAATAGGTAGGGGCCTGGCACTATGTCCTCAGTGGGCTATTGGCACCCCCACCCTGTCCCACTGCAAACCTGACACATGCAGACCCAGCTGCCCAGCTGTGTTTCTAGTCTGGGAGGATGGTGGCCTGCCTGTGAACAGGACACATGCACAGCCAGGCAGGGCCTCTTCCTGAGCAGACCAGTCCTCCTGACCCACCACTGGCCACCTGCTGGCTCTTTCTTTAAAAGAGGACAGGATGACTCAGAATTCCAGGCAAGCAGGAGATGAAGCAAAAAGTTCAACAGCCAGCCCTAGCTGGTTTGGCTCAGTGGATAGAGCGTCCACGTGGGAACTGAAGGGTCCCAGGTCTGATACCAGTCAAGGGCATATGCCCAGGTTGCGGGCTTGATCCCCAGTAGGGGACGTGCAGGAGGCAGCAGATCGATGATTCTCTCTCATCGTTGATGTTTCTATCTCTCTCCCTTTCCCTTCCTCTCTGAAATCAATAAAAATATATTAAAAAAAAAAAAAAAAGTTCAACAGCCAGACAGAAAATAGGAGGCGGCCTCTGGGGCGAGGGCACCCATCTGATCCCAGGCCATGTACATACATGCACCACTACATGTGTGCATATGTGGGTGATAGGGGCAGGCACACACATATGTATGTGTACCCGCATACATGTGTGTGTGCATACATGCACACGGCTCCCTTGCTGCGTGTAGGAGAGCACAGACTGCTGGCCAGGAGGTCTTGGGGCCTCAGGCTGTCTGTTCTGGGGCAAGGTGGCCCCAAAGCCCCAGGAACAAGTGGACCGTCAGGTCTCCCCACCTGCGGTGGCCCGAAGGCACCTCACAGGACTCAGGACAGGCACAGTTACCACCAGACAGGGGTGTGAAGCTAGAAGCTCCACTGCCTGATCTGGAAGCCTCCTGGTAATCCACACTTCTCAGGAATCAAAATTTCCAAGATTGCATAACAAGCAGCTACATAAAAAGCTGGGAGCAGTCAGGGTAGGAAGTGAAGCCAAGGCTGCCTCTCTCTACTCTAGAGCCTGGGACCCCCATCTGTGCTCTCATTCCCTCACCAGGGAGCTGCTAGAAAGGAGGTCAGTCAGATCTTGTCCCAGCTGCACCTGCCTCCCTGTGGGAGAATGAGGTGGCTCAAAAGTGAGCCTAAAACCCCTTAGGCAGACACCCCTGCTCCAGCCTGAGGGCCATGTACAGCAGGGGACCAAGGCTCCACCTGGGCCACCTGCCAGCCTTCCCACCATGGAGTCTCCTATGAGCTGGCTACCATGACACCACATCTCTCTCGTGCATCCTCAATAGGGCCACATCACTCCCAGGGGGAAGCGGGGGTGTCTTAGGCATTACAATGATTGTGGCCCTACCCAGGGTCACCACACACAGAGACCTGCTGCTGTAAGTGATGTTAAAATCTGTGATATTAAAATATCACTGGGACAGGGCCATTAGGAAAAATAGTCTCAAAAGGCTCCTGGGTGGGGGTGGGGGTGGGGGGTGGAGGGGATTGAGCAATGTTGGAGAAAGGTTGAAAAGCAAATCCTCTGGCAACCCCTGACCAAACCCAGTGCCCAGGTGACTTGGGGGAAGCACCCCTAGAATTCAGAGGGAGAAGAGGCAGGAGCCTCCACCCTTAGGACACTACACTAGGAGACAAGGAGAGAAAAGTGAAAACTCCATTCTGTGATTCTGGCCCCGTGACTGTAACCCACGTTCTCAAGTGAAGTCACCTTCATCTAAAAACAGCTACCCCTCCTCCGTGCCCACTCGGCAGCCAGGCCAGGGCGTGGGGCCAGGCAGGCCTCGTGGTAAACAGCCAAGGAACTTGCAGGATGAGACAGAAGGCACCCGCCCTCTCCCCACCCATGGCCTCACTGCAGGGCTCAGATAGGAGCCAAGAATGTTTCAGGGAAACCAGCCGTGGCTCCTCACCTCTCCCTCCATCCCATCAGGAAGCAGCTCCTGCTCCCCTCACCTGAGGCTCAGAGAGGCCAAGTCATCAGCCCAAGGGACCCAGCTGGAAAGCCTGTGCCCTCCCAACCTTTCTGGCCAACACACCAGGATTCTGGGTAATCTCAGGGAGAGCCAGGGTCTTCTGGCAGGAGAATCGACCCAGGGCCTCAGGCGACAGGGTGCTGATTGCTGATGCTCAGGTCAAGGAACCTGTTCCTGGCAGGGCCCCCAAAGCATTTCTGGGGCGCTGACCTGGCCAGGAGAGGCAAACACTGTCACTAAGTCACTTCTAGGCAGAAAAAGGACATGTGGTGACGTCCTCAGAAAGACTTTCAGATCTTTCCAAGATACCCTGGGAAAAGGGGAGCTGTCCAAAGTGAAAGAGAACAAAACAGAGAGGAGTCCCCGGGAGTCAGACTCAGGCAAGTGTGCAAGACCAGCTCCAAAGATGCAAAATGGCACAGATCCTCTTGGCTTCCTGGCTGGGGCTCAGAAGCACCCAGTGCTTCTGCTCTAAGGAGAGAGGCACAAACTCAGGAACTGTGCTCCCAGCAGAGGGAGACCACAGGGGCTTCCACCCACTGGCCGTCCGCAGCCGTCGAGGGCTCTATCTCCAAAGGGCTCAAGCTGCCAAATGCAGCTGTGTAGCCTCCTAATTCACTTGTCTACAGGTTCCTGAGTCCTTCCAGAGAGGGTTGGCAGGAAGCCAGGCCCTTACCCAGAAGCATTCAATACATGGCTGTTTTGATGATAATGAAGACAAAAGAGGCGAACTGAGATCATAAAACAGATCAGGAACACCCCAGTGAAGCTTCCACTAGAGGCAGTCCCTCTGGGCTCCTGCCCAGGACAGCTGACCAGCCAGCCTCTCAGAGCCCGACAGGTCCTGCCTCCCCAGAAGAGCCTCAGACCATTCTGGTCTGCACTTTGTTCCCTCCATTCTGGTCGCTATAAATCTTTAACCCAGAACCAAATGGGAAGTCTTCATATGGGGGGGGGGGGGGGACACGTCTCTCTCAGGCCTTCCCCTGGAAAACGATACCTCCGTCCATTTCTCACGAGCATTCAAACCACATCTGTCCACCCCCAAGAAGAGCTCCAAAATGTAATGCCTGTTGATAGTCGGCAAAAACTCTCCACTTCCTGCTCTTTACCAGTGGCCAGGGCGACCTTACGGTGACCTTGGAACATCCCCCCTTCCTCCCGGCCTACTCCACCCCTGTAAAAGGAGGGAGGTGTGGACTAGACCTTTTATCTGTGCCGAGAAATCAGAAAAACAGGCAGCAGAGCCTGTTGGCTCTCTACCAGGGTTTAAACTCAAAGGTTTGTGCGGATACCAGGGGCAGGGGCATACCCGGGGCAAGACTCAGACCTAAATCCCGGCAAGAATGACAATCCCTGCCGACTCCAGAGCCGCCTGCCTCGGGGACACTCACACGCAAGTGCTTCCAGCGTCCACTTAAGAACAGCAGCCTGCTGCCCAGATGCGAGCCAAGGGTCCGGGGAGTCCAGGGGGCCCTCCGCCGCCGCACCCCTCGCCCCAGCACACCCCGGGCGGGGGCCCACCCTCAAGCTACCTCCCCAGGCTCCTGGGCTCCCGTTCAAAGGAGACGCTGCAAGACCCAGCCGCAGGGTCCCTCTCCCGCAAGGAGAGGGTGGGAGGCCGCCTCCTGAATCCCTCCCAACGGGCCAGGCCCCTCCCGGACCCCGTCCCTCCCCCAGGCGGTCGGAAATCTAGGACTTCACCTCCAGGGATCTCCCTTGTCGGATCTCAGGCCCCTAAGGCAAGGTCTCCCCACACACTACCTCGGCGGGGAGTCCCGTGGGTGCCTCCGAACACCTGGGCGCCTCCTGACCCCGGGCACTCCCGCCCGCGGATCTCTCCGGTATTCCCCCTCCGCCCCTGCCGGAGGGACCCCAGAGGCCGAGCCCGCGCTCGCCCGCGGCCCCTGCCCGCCCCTCCCAGTCCTCACCCGCCCCGGAGCCGCTCTCGACGCTCAGGACGAGCCCCAGAAGCACGAGCAGTGCCGCCGCCATGTCGCCGCCGTCGTCCCCGTCGACAACCGCCGCCCGCGGCGCTATAAGAACCCGGAAGGCGGGCCGGCCCGGGTGCACAGGGAGGAGCCGTCTGCGCACGCGTGCAGACGCACGTACTCACGCAAGCCCCGCACGCCGGCAGGCCTGCGCTGCTTAAGGCTGGGCGGCCGCCTCACGTGACCGCGTTGGGCCACGCCCTGCGAGCTGGGGGTGTGGCTACCTTGCTCGGAAACGGGGGCGGGGCCTTCATTTGTCCAAAAAGTGTTGACAACTAAACTGTGACCATCGTTGAAATGCTCAATTTGTATCATGTGTATTTTACCACACTCCAAAAAACAGACACACAAAACACTAAGGAGGCCTGTGAACAAGTGGGATAAGTCCTCTGGCTGGGACTGCCAGATTTCGTGAAAACACCTTGAAGGCAGTTAAAATTTGAATTTTAGGTAAAAAATGAGTAATTTATTAATGGAACTATGCCATGCAATATTTGGACATAGTGATGCAAAGAAAGTATTCGTTATTTATCTAATATTCACTATTTATTTGAAATTCAAATGTAACTGTCAGTCCTGTATTTTGTCTGGAAAACCTACCCTGAGTTCCCAATGTTTTTCAACAAACACTTTTATTTATTTATTTTTTTAAAATATATTTTATTGATTTTTTACAGAGAGGAAGGGAGAGGGATAGAGAGTTAGAAACATCGATGAGAGAGAAACATTGATCAGCTGCCTCCTGCACACCTCCTACTGGGGATGTGCCCGCAACCAAGGTACATGCCCTTGACCAGAATCGAACCCGGGACCTCTCGGTCCGCAGGCCGATGCTCTATCCACTGAGCCAAACTGGTTAGGGCTCAACAAACACTTTTAAAAAATTACAAAATAGCCAGGCTGGTGTGGCTCCGTGGTTGACCATCAACCTATGAACTGGTCACGGTTTGATTCCCAGTCAGGGCACATGCGCGGATTGGGGGCTTAATCCGCAGTGTGGGGTGTGTGGGAGGCATCGATCAATGATTTTCTCTCATCATTGATGTTTCTCTTTCTCCCTCTCCCTTCCTTTCTCTGAAATCATCATTGATGTTTCTGTCTCTCCCTTTCCCTTCCTCTCTGAAATCAATAAAAATATTTTAAAAAGTACAAAATAATTTCAAACAAAAGCAGGGTAATGTAATCTTTGTGACCTTAGATTAGGCAACAATTTCTTACACATGACAAAGCACACACAACAAAAGAAAAAATAAGTTGGACTTAAAAAAAATAAACTTTTGCCCTGACTGGTTTGGCTCAGTGGATAGAGCAGACTGAAGGGTCCCAGGTTCGATTTCGGTCAAGGGCATGTACCTTGGTTGCAGGCACATTCCCAATAGGGGATGTGCAGGAGGCAGCTGATTGATGTTTCTCTCTCATCGATGTTTCTAACTCTCTGTCCCTCTCCCTTCCTCTCTGTAAAAAATAAATAAAATATATTTTTTAAAAAATAAACTTTTTGTGCTTCAGAGAACACCAAGAAAGTGAAAACACAACTGACAGAATGGGAGAAAATACTGGGGTTAATCATGTATCTGATAAGGAACTTATATCTAGGGTATATACAATGAACACTTACAACTTAATTTAAAAATACAATAACCCAATTTAAAAATGAACAAAGAATCTGAATGCACATTTCTCTGAAGAAGACATGCAAGTGCACAATAAGAACATGAAAAGTGCTCAATATAATGAGCCATCAGGGAAATGCAAATCAAAACCACAGTGAGACACTACTTCACAAACACTAGGATGACTGTAATGAAGTCAGATAATGAGTGGCTCAGTTGGTTGAGTGTCGTCCGGTGCACCAAAACGTTGCTGGTTGGATTCAGGGCTCCTACTTGGGTTTTGTGTTTGATCCCATCAGGGAACCTATGGAAGGCAACAGAGCCATGTTTCTCCCTTTCTCTCTCTCTCTCTCTTTCTCTCTCTCTCTCTCTCTCTCTCTCTCTCTCTCTCTCTCTCTCCATATCCTCAGGTGAAGATTAAAAGAATAAATAGATAAAAATAAAAAAGGCAGATAATAATTGTTGGAGAAGGTGAAGAAACTAGAACCCTCATGCATTGCTGTGGGAATTCAGAACGGTGCAACCGATAAAAAATACCCCAACAGTTAAACACACAATTATTGCCCTGGTCAGGGCCAGGTGGCTCAGTTATTGGAGCATGGTCCCATACACCAAAAAGGTTTCAGGTTCTATTCCTAGTCAGGATACATACCTAGGTGTGGGTTCAATCCACAGTCGGGGAGTGTACCAGAGGCAACCTATGAATGATGTCTCTCTCCCTTCCTCTTTCTAAAATCAATAAAACACACCCTCAGATGAGTATTAAAACACAAACAGCCAAGCCAGTGTAGCTTAGTGGTTGAACTTCAACCTATGAGCCAGTAGATCACGGTTCAATTCCTGGTTAGGGCACATGCCTGGGTTGTGGGCTTGATTCCCAGTGTGGGGCGTGCAGGAGGCAGCCAATCAATGATTCTCTCTCATCATTGATGTTTCTATCTCTCTCCCCTCTCCCTTCCTCTCCGAAATCTATATATATATATATAAGGCTAATATGCAAATTGTCCCCTTGGGAGTTTGACAAGAGAATGAGAGTTTGATCGCTCAGTATGATGTGTGCTGATCACTAGGGGGCAGCGTGGAATATGGAGGTAACTGGGACAGAGGTGCTGTGAGAATGCAGGGTGTCTGCTGAGCTTGCTCTCCTCCCCCTGCTACTCTCCCCAGGGACGCCAGGGCTCGAGCTCAGGTGCCAGCGAGGAGCCTGCCCCGCACCCACACTGGACCACAGGGGCCAGTCGGGCTCCCTGTGGGTTCGGGCAGGAGCCAGTCTGCGAGGCTGGCCCGGCTTCTGTGTGGTGCTGCTGGGTGGCCCAGAGGCCCACACTGCTCCCCAGCCCGCAGCATCCAGCCACGATCACCACATCTCCACTTGGGGACTCAGGCGGAGGAGGCCGCGTGGGGTCCTGGGTGCCCAGGGCCCAGAGGTCAGCTGGGACCTGCTCTTTCATGCCAGACTCTCACGCTTTGATCGCTGGCTAGGCCTAGGGACCACACCTGTGCACAAATTTTATGCACCGGGCCTCTAGTCAATAATAATAATAATAATAATAAAATGGAAAAACTATTCTCAGGTGAACATGAACAACAAAAAAGGGTGGCCCTGGCAGCCCATCCATGTTTCTGTCTCACATCAATGTTTCTCTCTCTCTCTCTCTCTCTCTCTCTCTCTCTGAAATCAATAAAAACATATCTTTAGGTGAGGATTAAAAAAATAATAGGGTGATGTAAGGGGGGCTGCTTTGCATAAGGGGTCAGGCAGCTTCTTGCTGTCAATGACAAACGAGGTGACATAAGAATGAGGAGGAGGCGGAAGCCATGGGAAGGAGTGAGTGGCAGTCTGACAACAGCCTGTCAGGTGGGGAAGGCAGCATCCAGAGAGGAGGCTGGGCAGAGCATGTGGAGTCCCAGCTACAGTGGACATTCAAGGAAAAGGCTGGAAGGATGTAGCCGATAGGCCACAACTTGCTGATGATGGGACTGTAGGGTGAGGCTTTCACTCCTGGCAGATCCACGCTCAGGCCCTGGGAGCCTCAGAGCCAACTGAAAGCCCCAGGCTTAACAAGGCCACGAGGCCACACAGATGGGGATCGAGAGCTACGTGCAGAATGAGGGAGGAAGACAGCCAGCTGGCTTCAAAACCCCTACAGCCTGGGAGGTGGAATTTCTCCTAGCCTGCGCCCTTGCCCTTCCTAGGCCGGGCTGAGGACAGCGCTCGTGGGAAATAGCCTTTGCTTTTGTTTTCAAAATAAAGCTCAGTCTCCTGAAGACCCAGTTTTCTGATCTCCCTCGAAAGCCTGCCTTGCCCCCTCACCCCCACTCCCCAGATCCCTGCCTGGCTCAGTCCTGGCCCCACCCAGGGCAGGAGGATCTGAGTCCCCCTCTGCTTCCAAGGACAGGCCTTCAGGACCCCTCTGTCAGGGCAGCCAGACTTAGGAAGTAAAAATACAGGACACGCTGTTAAATTTGCCTTTCAGATTTTTAAAACATCAGTAATTTTTTTTGTATAAGTATATCCCACACAGTATCTGGGACGTACTTTCACTAAAAACATTATCTGCTCTATATCTGAAATTCAAATTTAACTGGCCACCCTGTATTTCACCTGGCATCTCTGACCCACTTGAAGGCAGCCTGGCTCCATCCCCCTTTGTAATCGCCCTCATGGCACTGGTCACTCTCTGACCTTGTGTGAGGTCAGGGACAACCACCTCATCTGGGCTCCTGCTGTGCACTCATCTGCACACAACAGCTGCCCCTGCTTAGCTGTGGGTGGTCCTCACTCCCCCGCTCCCACCCTCCCGCCCCTGCCTCTGATGCCTGCACCCTCTGGGATAGATCTGGACATCTTCCTCCAACAGAGGGCAAAGCAACTCTCGTCTTCTTCTTTTAAAGAAACATATCTTTATTGATTTCAGAGAGGAAGGGAAAGGGAGAGATAGAAACATCAACGATGAGAGAGAGTGTCGTTGATCAGCTGCCTCCTGCACACCCCATACTGGAGATCAAGCCCGCAACCCGGGCATGCCCCCTGACCGGGAATCGAACCGTGACCTCCTGGTTCAAAGGTCGATGCTCTACCACTGAGCCACGCTCGCTGGCTGGGCAAGCAGCTCTCTTCTTCAGCCTGTCTCTCCAACTCTGTTCTGGGCAGTAGACAGGCCTCCCTGGTTAGAGAGGCCACGGAAGAAGGCAGGGCAGCCCTTCCTTCTTTGTTCCAGCTCCTCCTGCAGCCCACAGGCCTGGCCCTGCTGACCCCTTGGGCGTCAGCACCCTCCGTCTCTTCGAAGCCTTGGCTCTCGCCTCACCGGCACCGCTTCCTGCCTCCAAGCCTTTGCCCCGGCTGGCCTGCCGCCAGGGATGCCCTCCCCAGGTTGTAGCCTGGCTCCCTCCTTACATGGTGGTACTGGCCACCTCCTGGCAGAGGCCCCTCCTGCCGGTCCTGGCTCCAGTGCCTCATACTCAGGACACCAGACGCGGCTCC